ACCATCTTTGTTTACTTATAGAAATATGAAAATTTCATCAAGGACTGATATTCATAATATTGCCAAGTTTGTACAGTGTTGTACGTCAATTTAAAGTCACCAATGGCGGGGGGGGGGCCTCCCTGGTGGCACAAGGGGTTAAGTCTCAGCACTATGAAGCTATCTGCAGCCACTGCAACATGAGTTTGATCCCTGGCCAGTGAGCTAAACCACATGGTGCGAAGACCTCTGTGTCTTGCCCACTGCTCCCCTCAGCAGTGTATTTCAGTCAATCTGCCTGCTCTGCTCCCCACTCTGTCTGGTAAATCCTCTCACCCTCACATCCTGCACCTCTGGCCTACACCCCAGCTCTTACATATATAAATAATTAAATATTTAAAAAAAATAAAACAAAGTTACAAATGCAGTGACTAAAATGGCAGTAAAGATGCATATGGGAGTAATACTGACTTTCCACAGCAGGTATCAACAAAGGAGTTGTTCAAATGCTGAGGCTGATTCTGCTGAATACACAGACACACTAAAAACTCATTTGGGTTATACAGTCAAGTTAGAGTTACAGATCTTTGCTATCAGGTCAGTCTTTTGAGGAAAATAGAACAAGAGGAAAAAGAATTTGGCAATGGATAATGAGTCCTTAGATAGTTCTGGATCCCTGATTAGCCTAGAGGGATAGACAAGTTTGGTTTTCCACCTTCAGATATCAACAAGAAACCTTCCCTACCTGGACAGACTCCATTTCAAAGTGTGGTTCATGTATCAGATACTGTTGATCTGGAACTCAGGCCAGGTTGCTTCAAGTAGTGTTAAATTACCTGACCCAGCTTTTCTCATCAGTAATGCTAGAAATCAAGTACCTCAAGGAGGTCAACAAGTATTGAACTTTCCTTTGTACTTTTTTTCTGTATTCAAAAGAGCAGGTTTATTATATATGTATATAAAAAAAAAAAAAGGAAAGGAGAAGACACTTGCAGATACGAGCAAGCAGGAAAAGCTGCTGCTGTTGTTTTGCAAAGGGAAAAGTATATGAAAAGAAGGGTGGGGAGGGAGGGGCGGGGAAAGCAAAGACTAGAATCAAAACAAGGGGGGGGGTGCAATTGTATGGGGAATATAACCAAGATGAAAATGCACACATTGTGCAAAGATGAAAAAAGATTTAAGAATTATATAAAATAAAATATTTAAATAAAAAAAAAGTATATGAAAAGAAACACCTGTACAGTCACAGGAGGGCGGAGAGCTGCTCCTTTGTACTTTTTTAAAGATTTATTTGTTTATGCATACAAGAACTGGGGCACAGGTCAGAGGCATGGGGGGTGAGAGGGTTCATCAGAGACAGAGCGGGGAGCAGAACAGGTGGATTGACTGAAATACACTGCTGAGGAGAGCAGTGGTCAAGAAAGGAGAGGTCTGCTGAGCCATGTGGGTTAGATCCCTGGCCAGAGATAGAACTCATGCTGCAGAGGCTGCTGATAGCTTCATAGTGCTGAGACTTAACCTCTTGTGCCACCAGGGAGGTCCCTACTACTTTGTGCTTTTATTCAAACTTCTATAGAACTCAATGTATATTCTTGCTTTTACACTGCATAGAGGTGGGAAAAACAGTGGACCAAAATACCACTTAAGATACATTCATAACATCACTATTCATAACATCCAAAATCTGAAAATGACTCAAATATCCATCAACAGGTGAATGGATAAATAAGTTGTGGTTTATTCTTACAGTGGAGTAATGTTCAGCAACAAACAAGCACCTGCAACAGCATGGAACTGACAGAAGCTTACAATAGAAAATTTGGGATGGAAGTTTTCTCAAGGTCAAAAACTAGAGGTGAGGCCAGAAAACATCATGAATCTTTACAGAAAACCAATTCAACCTGACCCCATGAAAAAATAAATAAATTCCACAAAGAACAATATATAAGAATACCTCATACTCTGGCAAAAAGCAGCTCTTTGCCCACTTGTGTCCATGCAAACATTTTTTTCGCTTAATAAACTTACCCTTTCAAGACACAGCTCACGGGACCTCCCTGATGGCACAAGAGGTTAAGTCTCAGCACTATGAAGCTATGGACAGTCACTGCAGCACGAGTTCAATCCCAGCCAGGGAGCAGACCCACATGGCACAGCAGACCTCTCCTGTCTCGCCAGCTACTCCCCTCAGCAGTGTATTTTAGTAGATCTGCCTGTTCTGCTTCCCACTCTGTTTCAGGTGAATCCTCTCACCAACCCCTCCCCACCACCTCTGACCTACACCCCAGCTTTTATATGCATAAATAAATAAATAAATAAATCTTAAAAGAATATAAAAGGTAGACAAAGGTTAGCTCTCAGAGAGCATCTTGTTCTCTTTAACCACAGAAGTTCTCTTTAACCACAATCATCTTAATTATAAATAACTATTGATATTATTATTTGTCAGGGGGCTGTAGACAACCTAAGTAAATGAAATTGCAAGCTGCTAAGAGAAGTTGCCCCAAGTCCTGTTTGAACTGATGGACTGAGTAATGGCCTGGTGATCTCTGTCCAAACAATTTGGCCCACCTTACTGATCATAAGGTACCTTGCTAGACAAAAAAAATGTTAGATCCTGACTAATGATAATCTCACAATTTCCTGGAGGGAGAAGTTAAAGAACCCTACATGTGCAGTTGCAGTGTAACCTGTCTGCACATGCCTGGACATAGCCTAACCCAGAACAAGCTATGACATAGCTCTCTACAGCCTCACTTGTGGATCTACTCTTTAAACATCTACTTCATGGTCCCTTCAAGGAATCAGGTTAAATTCTCCTTTCTAGCACTGGTTCTTTCATGCATGAGCCTCTACTAAAAGCCTTGCCTGATTCAACTACACCTAGAGTTTTCTGGTGAATTCTTTCCTTATAGACAAATGATACACTTTTGGGCTGGTCCTGTAACACCTGTTCCACCTCCAACTATAATTATTACTGTGGACCTTCACTTTTCAACTCCCAGTCCCTAGCACCAATTTGAACTAGAAAATATAGTTGGGAAATGATAAATACTTGTGGATTAAATAGTCAAATGAGGGTCTTCCCTGGTGGCCTAGGGGTTAAGTCTCAGCCCTATCACCACCACAGCCTGAGTTCGATGCCCAGCCAGAGAGCTACCCACATGGCACAGCAGACTTCTCCTGTCTCACCCACTGCTCCCCACAGCAATGTATTTCAGTAAATCTGCCTGTTCTGCTCCCTACTCTATCTCTGGTGAATCCTCTCACCCCCCACAACTCTGGCCTACACCCCAGTTCTTCTACACAAAAATAATTTTTTTTAATTAAAAAAATCAAATGAATGATCTTTCCATTTTCTCATTTTCTAAAAGTGTGATCTTTGATCCCCTTATCATATGACAATGGGATTGTCTATATTATTTTCTAAATACAGAATGAAAAGTCTTTCCTCTAATCCGATTATTCTTTTTTCCTACTTCTAGTTCTTAAAAGTCCATTTCAGGGCCTCCCTGGTGGTGCAGCGGGTTGAGCGCAGCACTGTGAAGCTGTCCGCAGCCTCTGCAGTGCCAGTTTGATTCCCAGCCGGCCAGGGAGATTCCCATATGGTGCGACAGACCTCTCCTGCCTTGCTGGCTGCTCCCCTCAGCAGTGTCTTTGGTCCGTCTGCCTGTTTTGTTCCCCACTCTGTCTCTGGTGAATTCTCTCACCCTCCCCCACCTCTGGCCTGTACCCCAGTTCTTGTATAAATAAAATAAATCTTTAAAAAAATTATTTAAAAAAAAAAAAGCTCATTTCAGCTCAACAGTTTTTTTGGTGATGTCATATAAATGTTTAGGATTGGGGCCTCCCTGGTGGCCTAGGGGGTAAGTCTCAGCCCTGTCACCACAATAGCCTGAGTTTGATCCCCAGCCAGGGAGCTAACATATGGCACAGTAGTAGTGTATTTCAGTAGATCTGCCTGTTCTGCTCCCCACTCTGTCTCTCATGAATTCTCTCAACCTCTACACTTCTGGTCCTATCCCAGTTCTACAAATAAATAAATCTTTTTTTTTAAAGATTTATTTTATTTATTTATGCATAGAAGAGCTGGGATGTAGGCCAGAGGTGCCGGGGTGAGGGGTGAGAGGATTCACCAGAGACAGAGCGGGGAGCAGAACAGGTAGATGTACTGAAATACACTGCTGAGGGGAGCAGCAGGTGAGACAGGAGAGATCTGCTGCGCCATGTAGGTTAGCTCCCTGGTGGGGGATGCAATTCATGCTGCCGTGGCAGCAGATAGCTTCATAGTGCTGAGATTTAGCCCCTTGCACCACCAGGGAGGCCCGAGGCAAGATTTTCTTAACTTTTTATGGCTATATAGTATTAGCGCATGTGTATGTCTCACAATTTATTTTTCCATTTACCGTTTGTAGGGCCCATGGGGAAACATAGATTTCTCAGAACTTCTCAGACTGTTTTTCTCTGTGACCTTCAAGTTACATGTGGCCTAGGAGATACATGTAGCCTTGAGATGTAGTCTGCATGTGCAGAAAGCCGTAAATAATAATGTAACCATGATGCACAGTTTGCATGCACAAAACATAGTTCTGTAAACTAGACCTAAACTTGGCCACATTCAGGCTTTGTCTATAAATCATATAAAAGCTAATAGGACTCCTCCATGGATGGCCTCTCATGGTCTTTCACTGGCCACTGTTGTGGGGGCCCCCAGGAGGCCTGCCCTTGCTGGACACTGCTGCAGCCTCATAATAAAGATTTGTTCCTGCTGCCCTTGTTTTCTCATCTGCTGCCATCAGAACTGGGTAAGCCTGTAGCGAAAGCCCTATGCCCATCAATGGACATGCAGGTTGTTTTCATTTCTTATCTATTATAAATAATGTTATAATGAAGATGGGGATGCATATATCTTTTTTTAGTGTTTTCATTTTCTTCAGATAAATTCCCGGAATTGCCAGATCATATGGTAGTTCTATTTCTAATTTTTTGAGGAGCTTCCAAGATTTTTTTTTTTTTTTAAACCAGGAAGAACACAAATGCAGTGCCCCACCACCACAAATTATGCAGTTGTGTTTCCCACACTTGGGGAAATCACAGGCGTCAGAACATCAAGAGTGCAACAGATAAACCTCACCTGGGAAAACCACCTTCATAATCACGGTTTCTCCCCGGCAAAGTTAAGTATTCCAAACTGTTTCCATATTGGCCACACCAATTTCCATTCCACAAACAGTGCACAAGGGTTTCTGTTTCTCCACATTCTCACCAATATTTGTTATTTTTTGCCTTTTGATAATAGACAGTTAAAATATGCGAGGTCCTCCCTAATGGCACAAGGGGTTAAGACGCAGCCTGTGAGGCTATCTGTAGTCACTGCAGCACGATTTCGATCTCCAGCCATTCAGGGTGCAACCCACATGGTGCTGCAGACCTTTCCTGACTCGCCCGCTGCTCCCCTCAGCAATGTACTTCCATCCATCTGCCTGTTCTGTTTCCCGCTCTGTCTCTGGTGAATCCTCTCACCAGCCTCCACCACCTTTGACCTGTACCCCAGTTCTTGTATGCATAAATAAATAAATCTTAAAAAAAAATGTGAGATGATATAGCATTGTGGTTTTGATTTGCATTTCATGGATGATTAATAATAATGAGCATCTTTTCATGTAACTGTTGGCCATCTGTATGTCTTCTTTGAAAATGTCTATTCAGATTTTCTGCCTATTTTTAAATTGAACTGTTTGTTGTTTCCAAGTATTTTTTTTAAAAGATTTATTTATTTATTTATTTATTTATTTATTTATTTATTTGTACATACAAGCACTGGGTATAGTCAGAAGCGCGGGAGGGTGAGCGAATTCACCGACCCAGAGCAGGGAGCAGAGCAGGCAGAAGGACCGAAGTACACTGCTGAGGGGAGCAGCGGGCGGCAAGAGAGGTCTGCACGCCATGTGGGACCCTCCTCCAGTGGCCGGGGAGCAGCTGGGGATCGAACCGGCACCGCAGAGGCTGCAGGCAGCTTCGCAACCCAGCGCTCAACTGCTGCGCCACCGGGGAGGCCCTCCAAGTATTTTTTTAAACTATGAGGAACTATAGTTGTACAGGTAAGAAGAAGAAGAAGAAAATGATGATGATGATGATGATGATGACACAATGATGATGATGGGCTCCCAACTTTGGCTCAAGTTTTATCTTTTGCATGCTTATATGTCTAGATACCTAGTAAGCTGGTGAGAAGCGTTAAAACATTTTATTTGCAAGAAAGTAGGAGCTCTAGATGCCACCCTGGTGGTACAAGGGATTAAGTCGCAGCACTATGAATCTATCTGCAGCCACTGCAGCCCACCAGAAGTTGGATCCCCATACAGCCAGGGAGCTATCCACTTGGCACAGCAGACCTCTCCTGTCTCACCCGCTGCTCCCCTCAGCAGTGTATTTCAGTCAATCCACCTCTACCCTTCCCCACTCTTGTCTCTGGTGAATCCTCTCACCCCCCGCCCCCCACACCTCTGGCCTCTACCCCAGCTCTTGTATGCATAAATAATATTTAAAAAAAGAAAAAAAGCGGTTGAGTGCTGGGTTGCGAGGCTGCCCGCAGCCTCTGCAGCACTGGTTCGATCCCTGGCCAACGGACGAGGGTCCCACATGGTATGCAGACCTCTCCTACCACCCACTGCTACCCTCAGCAGTGTACTTCGTCAGTCTGCCTGTTCTGCTCTCTGCTCTGGCTTTGGTGAATTCTCTCACTCTCCCGTGTTTCTGACTGTACCCAGTGCTTGTATAAATAAATAAATAAATCTTTAAAAAAAAAAAAAAGTAGAAGCTCTAATGAGAAAATTTATACTAACTGGAAAACCAGGAGTGGCACATTTGTTACAAAGCCCTAGGTGTCTAAGTAAAAGGTTATTATCTAGCAAGGCTTTTGCAGACCATGTCTAATACCTTTGCAGAGTCAGTTTAGGGGTGCTTTATGAGTAAATACTAATACAATTAGTTTACTGGACAACCTTAAAAGTCATGAACCAAAGAAATTTTGGTGGAAAACTTTCAAAACTCCACTCCAGAACTTCTTAGAATTTCAAAAGCTAGAAAGATATCCTCAAGCTTTAAATCAAGTCAGCTGACTGGATAATAAAATATCATTGATTCTGCCTATGCAGTTTCATATCCAAATATGTAAGCTATTTTTAGTTGGTAGTTCTACCATATATTTGCATTATATATTGTTAGGTAAAACAAATAAATAAAATAATTATTATAACATCTAATAAATAGATATAATGCTAATAATTAAAATAATTCATTATAATAAAACATAATAATTTAAGTAATTAAAGGAATGGGCTTTTAAAAAAGATTTACATATATATATTTTAAAGATTTATTTATTTTGTATACAAGAGCTGGGGTACAGGCCAGAGGTTTGAGGGGTGAGAGGATTCACCAGAGACAGAGTGGGGAACAGAACAGGCAGACTGACTGAAATTCACTGCTGAGGGGAGCAGCAAGTGAGACAGGAGAGATCTGCTGCACCATGTGGGTAGCTCCATGGTGGGTCGGGGATTGAACTCGTGCAGCAAAGACTGATGATTACTTCATAGTGCTGTGCTTAACCCTTTGCACCACCAGGAAGGCCCTTAAAGATTTATATATTTAAACATACAAGAGCTGGGGTATAGGCCAGAGAGGCCAGGGGTGAGAGGATTCACCAGAGACAGAGTGGGGAACAGAACAGGCGAATTGACTGAAAAACACTGTTGAGAGGAGCAGAGGGCGAGACAGGAGAGGTCTGCTGTGCCATATGGGTCAACTCCCAGGTCAGGGATCAAACTTGTGCTGCAGTAGCTGAGGATTGCTTCATAGTGCTGACGCTTAACCCTTCATGACACCAGAGAGGCCCGGAATAGACTTTTTAAAGTCAATGTGTGATATTTCCACACCTTCTCTTAGGTCTTTTATCAAGTCAACCCATTTCAGAGTTGATGTGATTGGATAAAAAACTGGAAAAAGGAAAAAAAAAAATAACTGGGAAAAGGAAAGAAGGAAATAGCAGACTCTATATTCTTAAATTTTTGCTGTTTTGGGTCTTCTTTCTTTAAAATATTTTTATTTTTTATTGAGATATACTTGATATAGAACATTAATTTCGTAATGATTTGATAAAACATAATGTGTAAAACAAAGTGATTTGGTATTTGTATTTATTGCAAAATGATCACCATAAGTCTAGTTAATATTCATCATTATACAAAATTAGAAATTTTGTTTTCTTGTGATGAGAACTTTTAAGATATACTCTCTTAACTAATTTCAGGTATATAAACAGTATTATTAACTAAGTCAATATACTATACATTACATTCCCATGATTTTATTTATTTATTTTTTTTTGTGGGACCCTCGCTGGCGGCCGGGGAACGAATGGGCGCTGCAGAGGCTGTGGGCAGCCTCAACTGCTCAACTGCTCAACCGCTGCGCCACCAGGGGAGGCCCGATTTTATTATTTTAAGACTAAAAGTTTGTACCTTTTGGACCCGCCACTCTTTTTGCACACACCCCCATTTCTGGTTCTCATATTTTCGAGGTTTTGTTTTTATTTTTGTTTAGATTCCATATATAAGTGAGATCATACAATATTTGTCTTTCTCTGTTTGACTTATTTCAGTTAGTGTAATGCATGATCCATGCATGATCCATAATTCAAGATCCATACATGTTGAAAGGTTTCCTTCCTTTTTGTGATGGTATAATATTCCATTATATACAGCTTATGCATTGTTAACAATAGGGATTTATTCTGAGAAATGCATCCTGAAGCAATTTTCTCATTGTGTAAATGTCATAGAATATAATTACATGAACCTAGATGATACAGTCTAGTACCCCGCAGGTTATGTGGTATAGTCTGTTGGGACCACCACCGTATACATGGTTCATTATAGACTGAAATATCATTAATTACTGAATGACTATAGATTATATTTTCTTCATTTAGCCAATAGACATTTAGGTTGCTTCATGTCTTCACTGTGGTTAATTTCTTTTTAAAAAAAAATTATTTATTTATGCATGCAAGAGCTGGGGTACAGGCCAGAGGTGTAGGGGGTGAGAGGATTCACCAGAGACAGAGTGGGGAACAGAACAGGCGGATTGACTGAAGTACACTGCTGAGGGGAGCCGCAGGCAAGTCAGGAGAGGTCTGCTGCACCATGTGGGTTGCTCCCTGGCTGGCCAGGGTATCAAATTCATGCTGCAGAGGCTGTGGACAGCTTCATAGGTTGCGTCTTAACCCCTTGCGCCACTGGGGAGGCCCCGCTGTGGTTAATTTCTAATGAAATACCAGAATCATGCCTTGAGTAGAGTACTCCAATATTAAACAACCATATTGTTAGCCAGTCGGGCATATTCACAGGTCCAGAATTTTTTTATTCAATTAAACAAATATTTTTTGAGTACCCAGAGGTGCCAGACACTGTTCTAGGCATTTAGGATACATAAGTAATCAAAATAAAGACCCCTGCCGGCAGCACTCCATCTGCCCACCTGTGACTATGCAGGTGCTTCCACCAACTCTCTCCCTCCGCAGGGCAGCAGCCTTCCTGCCTGCCCATGACCTGTATCATGCCAGGATTTCTCTTCACTGACCTACCTCAGTGGAGGCTGCCCTCCTCAAGGCTGCCTGCCTGCAACCATGCTGGCCTCTCTCAGCAAACCTGTCTCTCTCGGGGCAGCTCTTCCTGCCCATTTGTGTCTATGCAAGTGTCCTTTATTCTTTTGTCCCTTTCTCTAATAAACCTGCTCTTTAAATATTTAAAAAAAAAAAAAAGGCCCCCCTGGTGGCACAAGGGGTTGAGACGCAACCTGTGAAGCTGTCTGCAGCCTCTGCAGCACAAGTTCAATCCCCAGCCAGAGAGGTGACCGACATGGTGCAGCAGACCTCTCCTGACTCACCCGCTGCTTCCCCTCAGCAGTGCATTTCAGTCAATCTGCCTGTTTTGTTTCCCACTCTCTCTCTGGTGAACCCTCTCATCCCACCACACCTCTGGCCTGTACCCCAGTTCTTGTATGCATAAATAAATAAATCTTTAAAAAAAAAAAAAAAAAACAAACCCTGCCCTTGCACAGCTTATGTTCTGGCAGAATGTACACAAAAGTGCTTCAAATTGGCATGAGATCGCCTAAATCAGA